TGTCAAAATTCAGGAATCCTCCGCCAAAGAAAGTCCTGGTGGAGATTGAAGACCAGTGGGCATTTTGGGTAGTTTTTGGAGTTGGTTTGGAGGATGTGGTTGACGTTGGCTGGATTGGCGGTGATGACACCTGGGACAAATTCGGGATGGTGATAGACGGCTGTGCTGGCAGGGGAATGGGAGAGGACTTGGGTTGTCCATTCAAGAAAACGGTTCCGATATTTCAAGAATTCCTGTGAGGTGCCGATTATGAGGTGGGTTTTGAAGCCCTTTGTGGTGGGGTTTATAAATGAAAAGGGAGTGATAGACATATATAGAGGGGAAGGAGAAATAGGAAGGGAAGACACAGAATTGAGAAGATCTCCACGGATGGAATGTTAGAGGCATTCCCCAGTATATAATCTCAATCATAGACAAAATCAATCTCAAAATAACAGTAATTTTGAGACAGAGATACTATATAGATGGTAGAGATAGTCGACCTTAAGCCTAATTTTTCTAGAATCTTTCTTCTTTAAAACCCAGGAAATAAGGGGTATGGTAGAGTGGACTATGATCCCAGAAGAAGAATTTGAGTCTAAGCAAACTGTTTTTTTAGGACAATGATTGGTGCACACCCGGATCTAACACCCGGGTGTGCACCCCCTACAAAAAAAAAAAAAATTGAATCAGGTGATGAGCATTTTTTTTTTGTTTACATGATGTGTGCACATCCAGGTGTTGGATCCGGGTGTGCACACATCATTTTCCGTTTTTTTATCTCCAGCTTCCCGAGAGTCTAATTTTAGAACCAAGGAAGGGCTGAACCGGGGAATGACGACTGCGGCAATTATAGCTATAGAAAAAAACAATAGAACAAACCTAATGAGGCAATATTTTTGGTGGGCATGCAAAATGTAAAAATATAGAGTTTGTATCAAATTTAAAATTAATTAGTAATATATAAATTAATTTTTTTATATTTAATTTGTATATTTTTTATTATTTTATTGATGTGAGTTTTTTTCATTTAATATAAAACTAGGTTATAAGATTATGTTGTTTTTATAATTAGGCTATTAGGGTTCGAAATATGATGGACTTATTAATTAAAGTTAATTACAAGTAGTTTTATGCTTATTTTATTTGCAAAATCAATACAATATCTTCTAAACAAACGATGGAATGAATTAAATTTAGCCATTTGACTTGACAAGATGTTTACTCTTATTACTCTAATGAGTTATTTTATATAGCAGTATATCATTAAGTCAAATACGATCAACTAAAGTAAGCAGGATATTGCTTTCGCCAGCTTCTTTTTAGATTCGACGGTAATTTGAGATTAAAAATGAGTAGAGCTAACTCTTGTCATTGTGAAGAAAAAAAAAATAGTAACCATGAAGAGGCCTAAATTAAAACAATATGTAAGTTGGTTCTCTATGTTTTTCTAACAAGATATCTTGCTCAAAAAATTAAAAATAATAATAGAACAAAGCTAATGAGGCAATTATATGTGGTGGGTATACAAATCTCCAATTGTTTTGCCTTTATCATTCGGACCTTGGATCAAGGTAATTAAGTCACTCTTCCTAATTGAATCAATTGTTTGGCTTCTGCTTCTTTTTTCCCCTTTTTATCACTTATTTTGCAATTTAGAATGCATTATATTATAAACAAAAAA